AAGAAAGAAAGAAAGAAAGAAAGAAAGAAAGAAAGAGAAAAAGATAGACATCTGAGAGAATCATGGATGGACAAAAGACATGTCTAGTTTAAGAAAAGGACAGGGGGACATGATAGCAGTCTTCCAATATCTCAGGGCTTGCCACAAAGAAGAGATGTAAAAAAGATGTTGAGATTCTAGAAAGAGTGCAGAGAAGAGCAACCAGGATGATGAGGGGACTGGAGGCTAAAACATATGAAGAACGGTTACAGGAACTGGGCTTGGCTAGTCTAGTAAAGAGAAGGACCAGGGGAGACAGGATAGCTAACAGTCTTCCAATATTTGAGGGGCTGCCACAGAGAGGAGGAAGGGGTCAAGCTATTCTCCAAGGCACCTGAAGGCCAGACAAGGAATAATGGATGGAAACTGAACAAGGAGAGATTCAACCTAGAAATAAGGAGTTGTTTTTTTTCTGACAGAAGAATCAACTAATGGAACAAAAGTTGCCTTCGGAAGTTGTGGGAGCTTCATCACTTGAGACTTTCAAGAAGAGATTGGACTGCCATTTGTCAGAAATGGTGTATGGTCTCCCGCTTGGGTGGGGGGTTGGACTAGATGACCTACCAGGTCCCTTCCAACTCTGATTATATGTTATCGGATCCTCTGCTTTTTTTTACTACCGGTTTGTGTGAACCGGCCCAAACCAGTAGCCACTGAACTGATGTTGGAATTATTCAGAGAATGTATAGAGAGAAACATCTGAAAAGTCTTGAAAGGTGGAAAAAAACGCAACCGAAGCGATAGATGGCTCGTCAGCATTTCTCTGCACCCCCAAACCTTTTTCATGGGTGATTTTCTTTGCCATTTGGGAGATGTAAGGGACCAAACACATGCCTTAAGCTTGGCGGGGGCTTAGGACAACCATTTTACTCCCTAAAAGGTAAAGGGTTCCCCGAGCGCATATGTGCTAGTTGTTTCCGGTTCAAGGGGGCGGTGATCATCTCCGTTACAAAGCCGAAGAGCCAGCACTGCCCAAAGACGTCTCCGTGGTCACGTGGCCGGCATGACTAAACGCCAAAGGTGCATGGAGGAACGCTGTTCCCTTCCCACCAAAGGGGTCCCTATTTTTCTACTTTCATTTTTTACACGCTTTTGAACTGCTCAGTTGGCAGAAGCTGGAACAAGTAACAGGAGCTCACTCCATTACACGGGGCTAGGGATTCAAACCGCCGAACTGCCGACCTTTCTGGTCGACAAGCTCAGCGTCTTAGCATTCCCGTTTGACTCCTTAGAACTTCTCAAATTTACACAAAGCAGGTGTTGGTCCTACCCATTTTCACAGGCAGTCCTTGAAACTCAGATAGAACTTGTGTACGGCTTTGCTTTCTTAGATGTCAGATAAATGCAAATTGATGATGATCGTGTCTAGCTTTGGAAACTGAAAATATGGGAATTGCTTTAAAAAAAAACAGTTCTACGTTGTGGCACTTTAAATTTTGTGAGTGGACTGAACATACTGTAGCTGAAAACCTCGAAGCTGTATGGTTTTGTTTTTGCATATTTACTTTGCATAACCAGAATTTTCAGAATTGGCAGTTTTTATAAAGACCTCATAGGCCATTAGTTCTGCTTACAGATGGGGATCAGACTGAATGAAATGAATGTTTGAGATGACAAGCTTTGTTATTCATTATTTCAGCATTGTATTATTTGAACAATGGGTTGGCTTTATGAAAGAAGGTCCAGTATTCAGAGAATTTATTTATATCACAGGTTATTATTTTAAAAAGAACGCTGTTTACACTTGTGCTTAATGTCACACAATATCCAGACTAGTGTTCTGTTGGGAACTTGTAGTTTGTTAGAAGAAAATCAATATCATGGTTTTCAACCTGCCCTCCATTCAGCGTAGAAACTTCTGTTGCCAGAAGAGGTTCACAGAATTCTTAACTAATCCAGTTTCTCCGCCCAATATTGGCAATGGTGAAATGCATAAACCATTAAAGGGATTTCATTGTGGAAGCTCTTAAAAGTGGTGCGGTGGTCTAGAGGTGTAGCTCTCACCTCACAATCAGGAGGCTGTGTGTTCGATCCTAGGTAGAGGCTGATATTTCTCTCTCTGGGCACAATGAGAATATATCTGCCGAACAAAAAACCACATGGGCAACAAGAAGGGCATCCGGCCATTCAAACACTCTGCTAGCTCCATTCAGTTGCCCAGATTTCACCCCGCAAGGGATTATGGGGTGGTTAAACGAAGATGATGATGATTGTGGAAGCTCTTAGCTTGAACAAGCACTATAGTTGCTTTTGACAAGAATCTTTTTCTGCTGTTTCAGGTAATAATGGAAGGAAAGGTTGCCTGCTGCGTAGGTAATAACCACAGAGCTTTACTTCAATTGTTCAAAAGGAATCTGTTTTATCTTTTCAAAGTGGCTTTTAATTCCTTGTTCTTCGTTGCTTCTCAGCAAATCTCCCCATTTGCTTACTCGGGTTCCTTCCTCTCTCTTGCAGCTACATAGAGAAGTTCACTGACTTTCTACGCCTTTTTGTGAGCGTCCACTTGAGAAGGATCGAATCCTATTCGCAGTTCCCTGTGGTGGAATTTCTTGCCCTGCTGTTCAAGTACACGTTTCATCAGGTACCGCTTTGAAACGGGCCAAGCTCTGTTCCCGTGTTGTGATCGCTGGCTTGCGTAGAAATGTATTTCTGGGAAAGGTGCAAAACTATTTTCTGTGTATTTTGGTTCTGCAGGAGGAACTCTTGATAGATTTCCCCCCCCCCCATTCCGTTTATTAACTTTGCATTTCAAAATCGTGCCCACCTTGGGTTGTGGATTTTCCCCTGCAAAACCCGCGTCTATCTTTTTGCCGTCTTGGAGAAGATCTATCAATGCACAGGTAGTCCTCAACTTACAACAGTTCATTTAGTGACCATTCAAAGGTACAACGGCACTGAAAAAAGTGGCTTATGGCCGTTTTTTCACCCATGCAACCATGGCAGCCTCTCCTCGATCACATGAACAAAATTCAGCCACTTGGCAGCTGACTCATATTTATGACGGTTGCAGCATCATGCGAACAATTTTTGATGACCTTCTGACAAAGCCAGATTCATTTAACAGCCCTGTTACCAAGTTAACAACTGCAGTGGTTCCCTTTAACGACTGCAGCAAGAACATTCGTAAAACTCACTCCACCGATGTTTCCCTTAGCAGCAGAAATGTTGGGCTCCATTAGGGTTGAAAGTTGAGGACTACCTGTAACCCCCAAGAGTCAACCCTTGGCATATAAGAGCCTCAGTGGTGCAGTGGTTAGAGCTTTAAACTAAGTTTTTTTTTTTTTAATGGAATGGCTTGCAAATGTGTCCGTTCACCACCAGTCACGAGGCTAAACAACCTGTTTTTTGATGTACCCGTTTCAGCCCACGCATGAAGGCTACTTTTCCTGCTTAGACATCTGGGCTCTGTTTTTAGACTATTTGACCAGTAAAATAAAGAATCGCTTGGCAGATAAAGAAGCCGTACTCAACAGGTAAGCCACCGAGTTTGCTGTTCAGGTTGGGTACCCCCTCCCCCCACCAAAAAAAGACATGCCTTGATTACTTGACTCAGTGTTTTTTGCAATGTTATTCCACTGTCTGTCTCCTAAGGGGTTGGACTAGAAGACCTCCAAGGTCCCTTCCAACTCTGTTATTCTATTCTATTCCGTTCCATTCCATTCTATTCTATTCTATTCTATTCTATTCTATTCTATTCTATTCTATTCTATTCTATTCTATTCTATTCCATTCCATTCCATTCCATTCCATTCCATATTTATTCCATTCCATATTTTATTCCATTCCATTCTATTCTTATTCTTATTCCTATTCTATTCCTATTCCTATTCTATTCCTATTCTATTCTATTCTATTCTATTCTATTCTATTCTATTCTATTCTATTCTATTCTTATTCCTATTCCTATTCCTATTCCTATTCTACTCTACTCCACTCCACTCCATTCCACTCCATATTTTATTCCATTCCATTCCATTCTATTCTATTCCATTCCATTCCATTCCATTCCATATTCCATTCCATTCTATTCTATTCCATTCCATTCCATTCCATATTTTATTCCATTCCATATTTTATTCCATTCCATTCTATTCTTATTCCTATTCTATTCTATTCTATTCCTATTCTATTCCTATTCTATTCTATTCTATTCTACTCTACTCTACTCTACTCTACTCTATTCCATTCCATATTTTATTCCATTCCATTCCATATTCTATTCTATTCTATTCTATTCTATTCTATTCTATTCTATTCTA